CGCTCTTCCTCCGTCTTCTCTTCCTCTTGCGCCCTCTTTTCCTCCCTTTTTTCTCCTCCTCTGTACCAGTTCCATCTTCAATCTTCATCGCCTCAGATTCCACAATTTCAGGTTTTTTATACAAAGATTCTGTGTACTCTAATCTCTTCTTTTTCGACCAAGGTCGTGGTGTCTGGAACTCCATATGCATATCCTGCCCATCTTTCGACTTCTTCCACACCCTCAATCGAAATATATTCGGATTCTGACTGACTTTTTCCGATGTATCTTCCATATCCTCGGTTTCATTCATGTGCGTGGTTTCCTCTTCCTCCTGCACAAGATCCTTCGATTGCGGGAACAACGTCACCGTTCGATTCCCCGAAGTCTGCTCGGGTTTCTTGTCCTCATCGATGATATTTTGCTGGGTGTCTTCGGTACAGTCGCACGGAGGATCGAACTCCTCTTTAGGTGGTTCCTTCTGGGTTCTGATCACCAGTCTGTTGTCATTGATAATGGCCTCGATCTCTTTATACGGTAAACCCCTTTCCTTGATCTCTGAACGAAGCTTTGGTTCGGGTACTTCAACTTTTTTTGGAGGTTCTATCGGGCAACACGCGGTCTCATCGACTTTGGGACGTGATAAAATAGATTTCAGACTTTTCGTCGACTGACATCGATTATTTATAATGTTTGGAACAGGATCTGTGATTCGGACGCTCTACTTCGGAGGACATCCACACTTGTGAGTTGCGATGATCATCTTTATTGGTACTTAATCATTTCTTCAGAGGAAGAAAGGATTTATTGATAGTGTAACATGGTCTATTGAATAGTGTAATGAGTGTAATGTGGTGAAAAAGGTTTCTTAATTGTATCAGGTTATCGTGGTGGACGCCATGGTGGGATCGGTCGTCTGATCTGAACGTGTTCACGCTGCAATCAATGACAGCCGTTCGTGGACCCCTACTAAAGGTACATTTTCACGTGACAGTAAATCGTGTCTTTTACAACAAGACTAGACTTTCAATTTTATGCATTTATAGCCAATAAAACTCTGTGAAATACAATTAAAAGCAAAACATGCATCCCGTGCACTGAGTTTTCTATTTTATTCTGAACCCAATAAGATGCTTAAGAGAAGAAGGACGTTCCTACATTTACTCTAGTCTTCTGTAAATGATAAAATATCATTTTGCATAAAAATCCAAAGTCTAGGATAACACTAAATGTTACGACTTTTTTCGTCGTGAAAACTAAACATCGTGACATTGATTTACATTGTTATACAGTGTCACAACGAAAGTCATGACTTCTACTGTCACGTGAACACGTCCATTAACTAACCCCACCCAACGACAAAATGGATTCGAGGATTACCATCTAAATTCCAAGTTTCAACAATCAGACGATAATTATTTCACGATGCATTCTTGTACGACGATGCCAGAGGCGCCATGCCCGCCGGATTGTCCGCCGCCGAAGCCGTTGAACGATCCTTCGTCGAAGTATTACAGGGAAATCGGTACGGCGATGGTTGGCAATGAACTGATTATTCGTATGGAGAGGGAGAAAGGTAAATCGAAGAGATTGAGAGACTGGGATCCTCCCTGCGATTGCGACGTAGTAGAGATACAAAGGCCGACGAGCAAAGAGGGTCCGAAAATACTGAAGGGTCCCGAGAACAATCGTATCCTCTTCCGTGTTCAGTCGAAGACCCAGGAGAATAAGGAGGATGGTGATGGAAAGGCTCAAGGAATTTATTACGAAGTATGATCACCTTGTTTCTTGGAGATTAATTTACAACTATTTGAAACATTGTAGGGTAGACTCGCACCAGTGAATGAATACTCGAAAGATTTTGTAACTATTAAAGTAGAATTTTAATTAATGCATAATATTAATAGATATATTGGATGCACCAGTAAATGAACATGATATATATATATAACCGAGTAAATTAGGTTATTAAAATAAATACTCTTTTCAGGTCGGTCAATGCAAAAACGACCGGAACTCGGCAAGAATGTGCAGAACGTTCACCATCTATCCCGTGATGGACTCGCCGTGTTCGCAGGTGGTGCACACCGATCGTGTCACCGAGGGTGACGAGAATGTGTTCATGTTAAAGGTGAGGAAGAAGCCTAATACCAACGAGGAGCCGAAGAAAAACATCGAATTGGAGCTGAGAACGCCGAGGCCATCGACACCACCCCCGATGCAACCGGAAGAGCAGCTACCAGTGGAGAAAGTATCCCTTAAGGACGAGAGAAAAGTTAAGAAAAAGACTTCGGAAGAGAAAACGAAGAAGGACGTAACGAAATATAAAAAGAAGAAACGTTGATCAACTTCTGTTAATATCAATCTCAAAAGAATTTTAATAATGTAACCGAAAATTTTAGAAGACTTTAAATTTTTCGAAGAATGTATTGAATTAGAAGAAATTTATTTTGTTTCAATAATGTTTAATCGAATTAAGTTTGAGGTATAGTTGTGTATATAGGCATCGTCTGAGGCTCGGTCTTCGGTTCAATGCTAAATGTGGGCATCTTCCGTTCGGTGCAGTGTCTGGCATTGAAGTCCTTGATAGCCAATTTGGTGACGTCCAAGTCATTCGCGTCGTCGACGATCTGCAGGATCTTCTGGACGGTCGAGTACTCCATCACCACCGCTGATTTCGTGTCGTTCGCGGTCTGCGAGGCCTCAGACATTCTCGTCTTGCTCTCGATCTCCCAGCTCTCCATCGTTTCCCTGAAGATTAGAATGACTCACGCATTCGTTCCCAGACTTCTATTCTATTTATCATAACTTTCATCATCTTTCTCTAATCAATTTTTCTTAATTTTGAAATAATATTCTAATTTTAGCACATAATTTGGTCAAGTAGATGTGACAGCCTTCCGCGAACAAAGTGAGTTGTAATGATTAATACTCACAGGGAGGCCCCTGGATCGGTGCTCAACGATCTCTTCCTGAACCAGCCGTTCGAGCTGGATCTCGACTTTTGCTTCGAGTTCCTCTTGTTCTTGCTGTAGAACATCGAGCTCGATCTGTCATGATCGTTTCCATCTTCGCTGCCCTTTTCGTTCTCGTGTCCAGTCTCGTGCTTCGTTTTCTCTGGTTTCTTCGATTTCCCATACGCGTGCTTCAGCTTCCAGAACGCGTGTCTGGCTGCCTGGGCAGCCGGGTCCCGCCTGAAACAGCACCGATGACTCCGATATTGCCACCTGGTCGAACGAAAGATTCATCTCAAAAAATTATCCATCCTTGTTCAAAGGCAGGTCAGCTGGGTTATAATTACCACAACGCGCAGGTCGTCACCGTTGAACTGAACATGAAGAAGCAGTTCAATACCGTCAGAACTATCAGCGGTTCTAACATGATCGTGGGCACGCCTGCATTACCCTGAACGCGATTGTCCCGGTTGGCTCTGCGAATTTGGAAATGCCAGGCGATGGAATATACCAGTGATACGTGGCAATGTTCCGGTGAAGAATATTTGACGATCGACACGCGATATACAGTGAGTTAGAAAAAAGAGTGGAGTAATTTTTACACGCTTACAATTGGAGCACAGAATCATGAAAGCATTCATGATAATTCACATTTCTGCATACCACCACACAGGTAGTGGACCCGAGAGGGGGATGAAGACTCTGAGGGGTAGAGAAATGCAAGCAGGAAGCGTGTGTACAGATTACCGTGGCTGTCGACAGGGATCTCAATGTCCCCGCAGAGACGGGTATATACCTTCCCTCCACGGGGGTCCTTCTGGGAGCTGTTTAGAGGTGAAACAGCGCACAATACCGCCGTAACCGCAATATATAATATACATATATATAAAAATAGAATCTCGATACATCTCCCCGTCGCACATCTGTGTGTGTGTGATTATAATGATGATATTACGTCGGACGGTGGCTGTGCCGTTGGGCTTCGGTCGCGGTTATCCCGTCGTCACAATGAAAACGCGCCTAGACCACCCTCCGTGATCTCACCACCTGCCGCGCAGCCGACCGTCGTCGATTTATTTATTTCCACCTCGACGCCGTTGTCGACGATCCGACGTTATTAACGAGGGACGGATCGAGACCCGCGAACGTGCGAATTTCCGACGGTTCAGTCACGATTTAAGGAAGGTGGAAGATTGCGAGAGGTCGAAATAAAGTTCGAGGGATGCATTGGTAGTGATCTAGCAATGACGATATATTTTTTTTTATCAGAATTGCAAAAATGGACCTGAATGCATGGACTTTTGGTGGCGTTGGAAGTCGATCTTAGTACAGGGAATCGTCGATGAGTGTTCGAAGGCTCCTCGGCAGTGATAAGAAGAGTTTATGTTAGCGTAATTGTTGTCCATCTAGCTTTAAAATTCCCTAGACAATATTTATATCAGACCCACAATAATTTCCTCATATTGTAATTTCGTTTAAATTTCAGTAAAAACTAGGGAAATGAAGAAAATCCTCCGCCGAAGGAACCGTGCGAAAATCTTCGGGTCACGGACGATCTAGGACCGTCTTCATGAATTATCGTTCGGCTTTTTCAACCCCCGAAGACGTGTTCCCCGCGCGTGAAGAGGATCCTCATTCAGCCCCAGAAGAGATTCGTCCCACGTATAATATCGCGGTCACTTGTCGTCCCATTGAGACTCTGACCGCAGACTTTTCTTTACGACCTCAGGGTCCCAAAGAGAGGAAAAATCAGTAGCGTCCACCTACCGCCGCGATCATATACGTGTCACGCTATTTTTCGTACATCGAGAGCATGATCTTTCACTGTGCGTCGCCTAATTTATTGGCCGCAGCGATCCCCATTGTATAGCGGCCGACCACACACAGCTCGAACGACACCTTTATGAACTCCCACGACAGTCGCGATTACGAACCCTCCACGCTTCTTTCTTTCCGTCGTTTCTCGCTCCTCCTCTTTTGCTTTTTTTACTTAATAATCCTGACGTCTTTTGCTGTTACCCAGCGAGTGGGAACTAAGTGTGCATTGTAAATTCTCGAGGGTCCCCGAAATCGACCGGTGAATTATGTGCGTAAGAAGAAAATGGCGCCAGAAGAAATGGGCTGCTGGAAATCGTCTACTAAGGTATTGACAAAGAATATTTGTATTCACAGGTTCAGTAGACAGCTGGCAGTCAGCGTTCAACATTTGTTCTTAAAAAGACGTATTACCACGTCATCCGACATCAAACTGTTAATAATACTTCAGAGTATCTTCCAATCCATAGAATGACGATGTACAATTTGTTTCAGGTGATCTAGACAGGGTTGAAGGAAGGAAGGAAGACCAGCGAAAGTTTTCGAATTCAGGGTATGTACTCCACTTGCTGTTCCTCCGGATCGCAACGGGGTTGTCCCCCCGCGGTGTCCCGTCATAGCACCACAATGGCGACCGCTGCCATTCGTCGGGGTCATTACGAGACGCTGTTGCAATCGAAAGGAAAGGAGTTAGGGGCAATTACGAGGACGCTTTTCAGTCGTGACAATACGGTCTCTGGAGAGAGGCGTCGCCTCCATCAATCGTCGCGACGTTCCTAGTGGTTCGGACCATGCCTACTGGTCTGTGTTAGGTTATGGTCAATCATTGAGGACAAGTCTGGCCTGGGGATAGTCAACGGAATGGTGAAAACCCGAGGATGGCTCATCTGGCCGTAACGAAACAATTTTCCACGGCTGGCCCCCGCCGGATGAATGAACGTGTAGCACGCTGACTCGCGCAGTTTTACGGGCGCTGGTTTATACAGTAGGTTTGCGTTTTGCGAACTTCATTGAAAAACCCCTATCGGCGATGGTTCATTCAGATCTGGCTACCGAGGACCCTGAATGGCCCGTGAACGGTCACGCTGCCCCGTCCACGAGTGGCGATGACTGTTGGTTACTTGTGACTACAGTGACCCGAGAATTATTGTGGGTTCTTGCAAATTTAGTAGCTGGTCCTCGAAAATTGAGGAGAAATTTGTCAGCACCTTGCAGAGAAGACCGGGGCCAGTTCTTGATTTTTAATAAATTATACGGGTCAAATATCATTATAACTGCACGAGAAGTCTTTTATAAATAGACAATTCTAACTACTTATAATAAAGTTTATGTTTTTTTTTTAGGTCTTTAGGGTGCAGTCGTTCTATACTGAAGGACCCAGTTCTCAATTTCCTTCTGAATATGTAATTATAAAGATTGTAAATTCGGTACAGGACTCAGACTTAACTTCTGATTTTTATTTATTAATCATAATTTTTTAGAAATTTTATGAAGTCTTGTCTAATGGTGGTCTATGGATCGATAGCTTGCGGTTCTTAGGATCCTTCTGGTCATCCGGATCACGAGGCGTCTCGTCATTGGCGGAGCTCAAGCTGCACTGAAGCACACGTGAAATTTTCTTGCCATTTCCTGGTATCCTCAAGCCGCAATACTCGCTGGAATCGACTCCCGTTGGACCCACGTATCTCGGGAAACTACGAAACATTCAGATTCGTATATTGAAATTTCTGATCGAAGGCTTACTGACGTTCGTCCTCACCACGTGGAGAACAGAATGCACCAGATGCAGGTTATGCAAACGCTGTTGCACACAGTTAGACAATCGAACATTTCGCCAGCTGTCCTTTCATTCCGTTTGTCTCCCCGATAACATTTTTCTGTAATTCTTGGAATTTAACCGTCCACGGAGCGTCCGGTGTCGCGTACTGTCAACCGAACGTTGCCAACTTCCGGCGGCGGGGCTGTCGTTTCGTGCAATCGACGGAATTGGATATAGATATAGATATAGATATAGATATAGATATAGATATATAGATATATCCATATAGATATCGTGAAATTCGCTTTAAAAAAATCGATATTCTGAATGGAATTGTCTTTATTGCTCTGTTTTAGTTCCCACGATTCACTTTTCGTTCGATCTGCCCACCATCGAAGATTCGAAACCAAAATCCACTCACGTAGGAGAGTGATGGGAGCATTACGGGAAACGGACATGCGTGCAAGCTTCGTTCGAGGCAATCATGCGTTGGGTCATTTGTTCTAGGCCCATCGTGTACCTACCATTACAGTGTCGTGGGAGATGGTGGGGAACACAGTTGTGAGGAATCGGTACGGGATCATAGAAATGCCGATCGAAGACGCGGTGTTAGTTCGACGACGTTCACCGTACGCTGAGGACACATTCTTTTGTCTTTTTTTGGACAAAGACTTTCTGTCGAATTTTTGTGACCCTCCTCGGTAGTTCTGAGTTTTTCTTTGGATTCAACTGATTTTCAATAATTGGGTGAGTAGAATGTTTGAAGATTTGTTTCCTTACTCTTGTTTCATTTTTCACGTAATTTTACGTTAGTCCTTGTGTTATTGGTACTTTTAATTAAAGTAAAAAAGTGGTGAATGTTTTATCCTTTTTTTCGAGTGTATCGATTTATATGTTCTGCTTTTGATTATGATATACACTGCGTGGTATAACTATAAAACTACCCTAAAATTTTCAATTCTTATGTATTGTGGATAAAATAAAAACGAAGCAAGTTGAGTAAATGTCCCAATTACTGCCACTGGATGTTGGAAAACGAAAGTGAAATTTGAGCATCGAAAACGCGTCCACGTAAATAAGAATTGATGGCGAAATCATACTGAAGAAAGAGCCATAATTTAACTGTTCAACCTACCTATACCATTTTAGGGTGACTTTATCGTTATGCTATGCATTGTATTATCGAGTATTTCGCAGTCCTTTAGTTTAGGTTTAACGTACAGCTTTTTTTTTCAAAATAGAGAGCAGCAAGAAATATTGTGAAATGTGTGCGAATGTTTTCAAGAGTTGTTTAGGATCGACGGCGGGTCGTAAAAGGTACTTACTGTTTCAAGCAAGCGTAATTGTCGATTTTCCTGGCGGAACCTGTTTACTTTCCGAACCGTAATACACTTAATTCGATCAAGTCCTCGTATGGAGTCGATGGACTTTTGTACTAGGTGAATAGTGACAACCATTCCATTAGACTAAAAAGAAAAGTTAAATTTATTCAACAATCCAAGTAATTGAATTTCGTTTAATTTGTAATTTTATTGCATCGAACATGTGTATTATTCCTGCTCTCTCACTGTTTACATCCATCACGGATTCCTCACTTGCATTTTCACGCGGATCTAATCAATTTCACTCACGTATCGTCGCCCGTTCAAGCGACTCTCAACAACCGTGTAATGCGCAGGGATGGAACGCTCGATTTCGTGATCTGAAATCGTGTGGCTTTTTCCAATGCGTTCGACAAATATCGATCCAGTTACGAAAATGTAGTTTACATTCGTGTGTGGTGCAACGCACTGATATCGAATTCTGGTCATAAGTTATTTCCCCTTCTCTTTTCTCCCCTATAATCTGGGAATCATTTCACCTTCGAGGTTCGACAGTTTACGTAAAACAGTCAAGAATGCTTCTGATTCTTTGATGTCACAGTGAATATTGAATTAGTAAAAGACTCAGATTGCTTCAAATGGCCCTACGGCCATTTATTAACGTCAGATATTTGAAAAACTAGAGTTTCTGAAAGTCTCTGGAAAGCTCTAAAAAATCTCTAAATTATCGAAATCTTCAGAGCTTGCAAGTTTACAGATATCGTTAAACGTCTGTTAAAGTCCATGAAAATGTGTCCACAAGTGTGCCCAAGAATCTATAAAAATCTTCGAATTCCAAGTAACGTCTGAAGCTTTGTTGAAAACGTTTCGCGTCCATCGCTGTCATCACGTCCATGACACAATCATGTTAATTGTAACCTGAGGTTCGGGGTCAAAGCCACGGAAAAGGAAGCTAGCTAGAAAATACACTCTATCTTCTATCCATTTACGTTTACAAACTTTACTCAGCGATTGAAAGCTTGTCAAACAGGCATAATTGACAAATCACTTACCCGTAATGGACATTAGACGCATTAATATTCAAACGTGTACTTCGAGGAAGTGCCATTTGTCACGGAACCATCGCGCACGATTTCCAAAAAATGCTTAACTTTTTAACGCCCAGAACCGTAAATCTTTTTTTCAAAATTATGAGACTGATATAGATATATGTATATGTATAATATCTTGTCATTTCGAAGTTCAAAATATCAATATTAAACCAACCTATTGTAAAATTTTTTAAAATTATTTTCAACCCTTTAACGCTCAAACACCTCTTCTAGGGAAACAATTTATTTCTAGCCAATTAGTTAACACAGAAATGGTTTCAATATGTGCATCTCATCTGTATTTTCACAACAGAATGCTTAAAAGGAAGAACAAACGTTCTTAACGCCGAGAGATTAAAAGAATCTCGGCGAGATTCGCGCTTCGTACGCAAACAAGCTCCGTCGAAGTGTGTTACGACTGTCAATATTGAACGCCCGTTGTGTGACAGTCTCTCTTCCGTTCGAGTGAAGATAATATTCCGGCAACATTTGTAACTTTCGCAACGACACACAGTGCCCAAGGTTTTGCGTTTAAAGAATAAAAATGTTCGCAGACGTGGATATGACGCTGTTGCCGCCGACCGTCGAACAACAGAGACGCATCGATGAGGTGGTTCCGGTTGATCCGGAAACGAGGAAACGCGACATCGCGGCGATACGGGAATGGCTTTCGAAACAGCCTCATCTGCCTGATCACATGGGTCTGCATCACAAAAAATTAATTGTCACGGTGAATTACCGACGTTCATTGCTGTTTTTTTAAATGGAAAAAATGGGAATTCTTCTGGTGCAATGAAATGAACGTGTCAATGAAGTTTAATGATATTTGTGTGGTACTATTAACATAGTAAAACCCCTAGTACAGAATTCAAAATTATGCTTCATTTTAATTTTCAGATATTAATCTTAACGTGTGAATTGAATTATTTTTATCATATAATTTCCATTCTGTAAATACTTTCGGTTTTTATGCACCAGACTGTGAATGCTTCTTACGTACATATCCAAGACAACGAGCGTTGTCATGTGATTTTCAATAATAATAATAGGCTCGTAGATATCATAACAGTGCATTTATTTGATTTGTGCTCGTAAAATCTCGACTCGCGGATTTGCAATTACAGACGAGATTACGGTGTTTGTTCGGTAATTCGGAACGGCTGATTGCAGATGACGCAAGACTCAAGAGATTCCTGTTCGGCTGCAAGAACAGCATAGAAAGATGTAAATTGATTTTGGAACGGTACTACAGCGTACGCACCGCCGTGCCTGAATTCTTTTCGTTGCGTGATCCTCTTTCGAAGGATATTCAACAGTGTCATGAATCGATGTAATCCTTCCCTTTTATATTTCATTAATTTCGTAGCCGTAATTAAGGGAAACTAGATTGATTTCTTTCTTATCTACAATTAGACACTACTTCGTTCTGCCATCGTTGACGAATGAAGGGCACCGTGTCACTGTTCTACGGCTTCGGGACACGTCGATCGACAAATTTTCCATTCGGACAATCACCAAAAGGATCCTGATGGTCCTGGACACGCGTCTGATGGAGGAATGTTGCCTGTCGAACATTATGGTCATCGATCTTCAGGTACCATTTTCTTTTGGATATTGCCCCACTTCAACGCCTCAAAGATCTCGATGCTCCCCTAGAATAATAGTAAACCAAGTTCTGAAGAAGTTTAACATTAATAACTGCTTCACGTTTATCTACGAATTATTGTCTTCAGGGATTCAGCGTAGTTCACTTTACAAAGTGTAGCCCAACGCAGAGCATCATTCGGAAGTCGATGTTGGCGGTGCAAGACAGTATGCCGTTGCGACTTCACAGGGTCCATTTTCTTCACGCTCCTGCATTCATAGAAAGCGTTCTGAATATATTCTATCCTCTTCTGAAAGAAAAACTAGTTCAGAAAGTGAGATTATTTTGTGTAAATACAGTGACTCACAAATTTGTGCACGGAAAACGGTCGCATTTATTTCGCTGAATCGCATACGTAAATGGGAATTGCATGAAAATTTGTATATTTAATTGTTAATTCCGAAAGTATGTGAACGAATGTGTGAGTCACTGTAATTAATTTATCGTAAGTCTTCTGGATGACGCTATGTCCTTTTTTTTCGTGAATATAGTTTCGAATCCATACTGGTGGTGGAGAGGAATTGCATCCTTACATGAATAAGGATATATTGCCGAAGGAATGGGGAGGCAAAGCAGGCACTTTCGATGAGTTAAACGGTTCGGTTGATCCAACACATTATTTCTAGGTATACTTTTTTGTTAGTAATCGTTACTGTTTGCAGACTCATGGAGAAAGAAGATCGAGAAGAACAGGGATTGGTTCCTACGCGAAGAGAAGCTCAGCCGAACGAACGAAAGCGCTAGATTGCCCGAAACTAAATCGAGGCTCTTGGCGGAACTCGATGGACTGCAGGGTTCGTTTCGAAAATTGAACATCGATTAAAAAAAAAAAATAGAATCTCCTTATGGGAAGAATAATGTCTCCAATGATAATCTCCTTCATTGGTTCTTTTAGTCAGCTAGTACAATATTTTATATTTACAATTAGTTATATTTAAGATTTACATATTTCTTAGAAATGATTTTTTTTACACTTGTCAAGCGGATAAATGGTCGATACAGTAGATTCTCGGGTAACGGTATGGATGGTCCGTTACAAGATGGCGCCACTGAACACTCGAATTCAGAAAAAAATGAACCATTTGTAGAAGAGTTTAAATTAACTAATCTATCGATTCAGCCGCGGAATTAGAGGTATCAGTGTGATCTTGTAATAAATGGTCGGTTAATTGTATCTCTGATCTGGGTCTTCATACTTATAGAACGTTGCACTTATTATTTGGCACGACTCGTGCCAAACGTGTATTTGACGTTCACCTAACGTTGTTGCTAAAATATTGGAAGTGAGCCCAGGGCAGAATGCAATACTGCCAAACGGAAGGGGATCCAACGCAGGTCGCAACAACAAAAAAACTTCACCCCTTTGGTCTCGTTGCTACAACGTGTATGGTACTAGTGAAAAAAGCCACTCCCACATAGCTCTGGATATTCTGGACCATGTCCGAATATATCCTAAAATCATTCTCTTTAACCCTTTGCACTCTACTGGCTCTGCGACATGTGTCATCGCAATATCCAAGTTTTATTTATTAAAATACAAACTAAATTAACGAATTAATAATTTGAGGTCATATGAAGGTCAACTTTGTTTTTTAAAACGGATCCGTATACCTTTTTACGCACTAATTCGCCAGAAGTGATTTAGTACTCTATGTAGGGAATATCATCAAGTAGTGCTACCGGTGCAACACTGGGCGTTAAAGGATTAACAGTCCAATAAAGTATTTCTTACTATGTACTTTTGTATAGTATATTGTCAAACTTAATCTCGTTCATAATTAAAGCAACCTCGCTTACTCGCAATACAAATTTAAAATGATACAAAGTTGCTTGACTGTAAACTGCCAAGATATAGTATAATAAAACTCTGTCTGTTAGTAAATGGTCAGACAGATACCGCATTGTCGCGTTGCAAGTTTCTGTTGATCAGAGACTTGGTACGCAGTCTTGACCGTTACTTAACGACTGCACCATATACGACACCACCTCCAGACACTTAAGAGCCGCCTCGTTCGGCGCGTCTGTCTCTTCTTTCGTGTCCGTTTAACTGACTTGATAAGCTCTAATGGTGGTTCAAGCTGTGGCACGGAACAACTCGCAGAATTGCAGGAATCCCTTTCGACTGGCCGAACGCAATTTCGCGGTTGTTGCTGTGGTTGCTCTGTGCCCCCCGATCGCTCAACGGCCACTGTCTGCCACGACCTGCGAACGCGCGCGTCTCTCGTTCTCCGTTGTGTTTCCCGGCAATATTTGATCAGTCGATGAAAACATACACGCGTCCCTAAAGGGTAAAAAACAGACTGTTCATCAATTATCATGCGAACCTGCAACCGATAGGACGTGGAAACTGCGTGTTTTTTCTCTGCGATCGTCGTTGTGCTGCCGTCGCCGTAGGCACGAGGTAATACATTATTTTTTGTTGTTATATTTACCACAAATTACTTATCAGCGAACCTACTTTTACTGCTGCCTGTTAACAGTAATGGGTAGACTGCGGATATTTATGCAAATTCACAATTTTGAACATTAATTTATGAATATGAAAATGAGATAAAAATTTATTTTCTATACTAGATGTCTTATTGTGCTGATAATAACATAGACATATCATTAAGTTTTGCTAAAGACTCTATTTCACTGCATTTTGTATATTAAAATTGACTGCAAATGCATAAACATCCGCCGTCTAGTAATTAGTATTATATTTTAATTGAATTGTACGTCTTTGGAAGTTGGTTTTCTTGTTATAAATAAGGTTCTACGCCAGTGAAGTGCAGCAATACAAGGCTTAATAGATTATACGTCCGTTGGTCTCGAAAAGTCCACACATATCACCGAATAATTTTAATAACGTTGCTGCGCATTTTGTTCTTTCGATTCATCGTCCGTATTTACGCGTTCCCCAAGGTCATTTAATTTCGTTCGCCACGTAGAAAGTGCCTCGTGAATTACGTAGAAATGGAGTCATTTGAGAGACAAACAAGCTCCAAGACGGAATTGTGAGAGAGACCGACGGTCTTGCTCTCGATTTTACAACAGACGCGCTTATAATCTCTACACAACCGAGAATTCATCGACGTGTGCACACGATATAAACAAATGATCCGTCGCCGGCTGTTCCCGTTTAAGCAAATTAAACGGCCTCGCATTGCATAAGCATTATATCAATTACCACGGGTGTGTGCGTTCTTAACGAGCCGGTACAGGCAATTAATCAGTTAATTAAACACCACTGCTTGGAGGGATTGTGTAACCGTCAGCTTCGATATTCTTTGAGTTTCCCTCGATACCATCCATCCACATTCTGAACCTCTAAAAAAAATGATTGAAAATGTTAATTGTAACAATTTGTAAATTATAACTATCAAAATAGACAAAAAAACAGGTTCAAAATATTGGAATGTCTGTGAGATGGAAAGGAGTAGGTCTCGAAGTCGTCGATTAAATTCGACAAATTCGTCGTTTCCGACAGGTATAAAGTCGGCCCTGTCCTGCCGCACTGTACAGTGCGACGGGGCCAGGGTGGATTGATTTTTCGCCCCCTGACGTCACCTCGAGCATGCGCGATTCCGATTGGACGTTACCGTTGTGTGTAAGTGTGTGGTCGTCCGTTCTCAACGCAATTTTATTTTGCCCCATCTCTTGACATCTGTATTTCGCGTAACAATCCGACGATATCCCTTTATCGAAGTCCTACGACACACTTGGACGCATTGTTGCTGGGTCTAAGTCGATTAATTCGAACGGTAAAAGAAATTAGCAATCTGTCATCATCGAAGAGTATCCTAGGAACAGAGATTAGCTGTGTACAAGTTCTAATTTAATTTGAATCGACAAATAATCCAGTGGGCTACCAATACTCACGTAGATATAGATTTCTATAATACCTGTTCCATATGTTTGGTACCAAGTGGATAAGGACCTTATCGAAATGTACACAATCGCCTATTTTAGAAATGCACAGAATCAATGGTCCAAGATTTCACAAGTGACTCAGGGCAAACGCACTAATGAACCAATTTTTATAAGATAATATTTCTGGTTGAATGAGTAGACAATTATTTAATCTCACCAACTGTTGAAAAGTTAGGATGACGATCTTGGCTATACTGTTGCCTTTTGCTATATACGGTTCATTTCGTGGTGCATCCACCCTATAATAGATCTCAACGAGTACCCTAACTCTGATAAATCCACCAAATAACATTAATTCAAAACAGCCTTTCAACGAAACCTATGAAAATTACCAGTCGTCATCGAACTCTCGATGAGGGAAAAATTCACTGCGACAGAGGTGGGGGGAAGGGGAGGTCGAATGGGGTGGTGCTAGACTCGCGAGCGGTCGTGGTTCTGGGCCACAGGGACGGTTGGGGTCAGAGACGAGTTCATTCAGTGTCGCGGCGGTGACTCGACGGTGTTTCTTCCTCCGTTTGAACTTATCGAACCGATTTCTCCCCGTTCTCCCTTCCCCTTAGCTGAGCTTGTTCCCTCTATACCTCCTTAGTCGTAGGGAGGAGTTGCTTTGCGCGGTCGGTGATCAGCCAGGCTAGCGGTTATACCTACCTAGGGCCGTATCGTTTCGCGTAGCACACGTGCACGCCGTCACGGCGACGAGACGTGGTTTCTAGGCAGCTTAACGTGGTCTGGTTTCATCGCGCGACGCTTTCGATCGACAGGGAACACGGTCGGCCTGGCTACCGTCGTTTAACCTACGTATACTCTCGGTGTCTGTCGTCGTCGAAAACGACGTGACGCTCTGTTTTCTGGCTCTTCGCGACTGTACCTTGGAGAAGGTTTACTTTGGTGAATATTCAGCTTGGAGAACATTTGCCTTGGAGAACTATTACCTTCGAAAATGTCTACCTTGAAGAACCTTGGGGAACATCTACCTTGAAGAATCTTGGAGAACCCTGGAGAACACCCATCTTAGAGAACATTTACCTTGGAGAACATCGACCTTGAAGAACCTTGGAGAACATCTGGAGAAGAAAAACGAGTACACATCTGGACCATCGAACTTTGATATAGTAGTATCTGTCCCTACCGGTGTGAAAAGACGAAACGTTCGAGTGTCGTCCATGACAGAAGAATCGACGAGTAATAACGACGGACCGACGAGACGATCGAGACACGTGGATCTGGAGCCAGAAACTTTACTGGCATCTGTCATTAAATGAAGAAGGTTAAATGAAGAAAATTGAAGCGGTCCACAGTGAATGAAAGAAAGTACAATCACGAACATCGAAGATCCACGATACCATAGTCGGTTTTAACGATCCAGAGAACATCTCACCGAAGTGCAACGCTATCTGATTATCAAGGTATCGGTCTAAAAATTTTTCAATATTAGCATACGCAGCACCAGAAATTCGGTTCAGAAAATTTTGTGAAGTAAAGTATGCGACTCATCCGTTGCGGACATACTCACACATTTGTTCACAAACTTCCGAAATACCAATTAGACGTCAAAACTGTTACGCAATAATTTCTATTTATACATTCCCCTCAAATTTTTCTCAATTTCGAAATAAAATTCGCATTCTGGTAAATACAGGTGACAACCTTTGTGAACAAACTTGTGAGAGTCACTGTGTACGCGTTTTACATAACTATTTCAACATTGGCACTTTCGGTACACTAACGAGGATTTAACCCTGTTTACCCTTATCATCTGTCTTAATAATGATGGTATATTAAATAAAAAAGTCCGTCCAGAAGCCAAGTGCGGTGGGTGGACAGTGTGTACTTGGTCGTTCCTGGGTCCGGTCTAAATCCCGCTGATCCGAGCTGGTGGCGCGGCGGCGACCCTCTCCCCCACTTCGCGTCGATTATTCGCCAGGACGACGCGCGTC